ATAAAGGTCTGTATCAAATGATGCTGAACAGCTGGACAAATGTAACACGATTGGAGAGCAGCTCTAATAGTTTAGAGTGCTGAGAGATAAACAGACAACAAACATAATTCCTCCCAAACAGGATAGAAAAATAACATCTGTCACACCCATTCATCTGCTCCCTTATCCCAATAAAACTGGGGCTTCACTGAAGCAACTGTACTGATCGAGGTAACCAAGGTCACTTAAAACTCATAAGAAACTACATTTCCGCAAAATGACGTCACTTCCGGTTTCGGGCAGGACATGGAGGACATGCAATAGTTCACGCTGATGGACTTAGGAAGTGTTACAAAGCGTGTTTCTGGAATATTGTTTTTGTTGCTGCAAGTGCTTTTTATGCAGTTTTTGCAAAGTTATATATGGAAGGAAACCGTGACCGAGGACAAGCTGATGGCATAAGATGTAAGTACAACTCCTCTGGTTTCATTTGCATAAAAAATTATTGCACTAGCTTACGTGGTTGCAGAGCTACCGGGATTTAAAAATAGTTACGCAAAACGGAGCGACCGACTTTAAAGGGTTAAAGGTATTTGCCCAATTGATGAATCCAGTGATTTCTAGATAACTTCTTTAACATTGCAAAATTGAGCACTGGCCTTGGAATAGCGTACATATTTTGTTACTGCTACTGTAGAGACTGTGGACAATATTAAACATAAATATTGCATCCCAGCATTTTTTTCACAGGTGGAACCTTGGTAAGACAGACAGCAATTTAAAGAGTATACTGTTTTATTGCATATCGACTGCATCCAGAATGCAGTATCACTAAGTCATTTCATGTCTTTTTGCTCCCAGAATTTTGATGACTGGGTTGAGTTATAGGATGGTAGTTACAGATGGAAGTGCCAGATTGTCCTGTGCAGGGAAACCAACTGGACATTTTTAATTCTAAAGCTTATAAACGACAAAGTCATTGCCTAGTCCCTCTATAATAAGCTCTGGTACTTGGCAAATTGTAGCTGATTTTTCTTGTAAAATAATGTTATGTTAGGGGCTTGACTCGCCCTGTAGTGATATATGCAGATGAGCCTGCTGTACAATGCATCTTACATATTGCTTCCTCTAGTCATGTTATTTTCTTACCTGCTCTAGGTAGGTGTAGCTCCATATCTTCCCATCAGCAAACACCCTGGAAATCAGGCGGCCTTGGCTATCATACTCAAGCCTCTCAGTGGTAGGACCTCTCTGCAGGGCACTGATCTGCCCACTGCTTGTGCGACTGACATTAACTGGCAGCAGCTTACTGCTGGGTACCCAGAGAACTGGATGTCCTGCGGTGTCATAAATAATCTTTAAGAGGAACTTCCTGTGGTCATCATAAATTTTCTCTGTCCTTAGGGTGCGATCATAATCAACGGAAAGAATGTTCCGTCCGTTCACCTGTGGGGGTGAGAAAAAAATCAAGTTAAAATTGGGTTAGACCAAAAAATTCAAAATAAATAAAACTTCTCCTAAAACTAGCGATAATATAGTTTTGATGCTTGAAAATAACAAATGAGGACTGATTACACAACAGTACAAATTTAAGAACAAATACTTTGATTTGAAATCGCTGGTCTTTGTCAGGATGGCTCTTTAAACTGTATTCATAGATTTTTTTTTTTACTACAGTTGTCACAGAGATTAACACCTCCTTCACGAGGCTCATTAAACTGAGAGACACTTTGGCGATCGTTCAGGTACACTTAAATCACAACCTCCTAAATTCAGCGGAGACAAAAATTACCGTGAGCCAAAGTAACCACCCAAGTTAAGTTCATGAAGTGCCTTAAATCATAAGACCCGTGTCAGATTCTAGGAAGTAGGAGTAAGAAAAGGAGGAGTCATGTACAGTACTAGAATATTGATAACCCTCTACATCAGGGTAAATGTTGTGACTGATGAATCTCTATTGAAGGAAAAGAGTGCAGAAATATTTTCCAAGGTTAGAATAAGGACAGAGACACAGCCACCAATATGAATTTGGACAGTTTGATCTGGATTTTGCATAAGTAAGTTGGTTGGATTATCTAAATGTGCTACGAGGGAAAAAAAGTTAAAGAAAAGCCTTAACATACCCTCAGCTTGCGTCCAAACACGATAACTTTCCCTCTGGCTTGTTCTTTGCGGAAGCGCCACTCTACCAAGTTTTGCCCACTCTCCCCTGGCAAGCTCATGTTGCGTCTGGCTACAGTCGGGTTGGCAGCGCCTGCCAGGATGTGGGGCTCTGTCTGGTAGTGGGTGTCCATCCCGTTGGCATAGGTAATCCTGAGCGAATTGTCATACCCCACTTGGTAGCTACTTCTACACTGGTCTGTTGATAGTAGACAAAAAGTGAAACTTTTGAGGCAGTTACACACTGGCGCTGATGCTAACAGTCGTCTGGGTTGATCAATGGTTGTCAGTGAAGATGCTACAAGTTCTTAGCATTTCAAATTAGTACATTTTAAAATGAAGAACGATCATGGATGACGTGCTAAAATAACTGGGCCATCTGGCTCAGGCGGAGCGCAGAAACCACTTAGTTACAAGGTTGATACATCTCCCTGACACCCAAACCCACACACTGAGAGAGTAATCATTTACACTGTCGTCTGTCAGGCTTTCGTAATGATACACGACTTCAGCTTACTCAACATGGCCCCGCCGACCCCTGGAACAATGACAAATAACAACTTACAAAATAGCCAACTGAGCTGGGATGATGCGATTCGAGGCCTTACCCTGAGCCAAAGTGTAGAAGGCGCGGACGATTGAGGTATTTGTTGTGATGCTGATTTCCTCCTCTGTCATGGAGCTTTCAATATCCACCGTCAAAGCGCTGTATAGGTCCGTGTACAAGTTATTCACCATTCCAGTGGGAAACGTCACATTCATTAGGCGTCCTTCACTGTCATAGCTGGTTGACAAAAAGAACATCGAATGACAAAGCATTGATATGTATGAGGGCTCTCAGAGTGCCACAGTGCATTCAATTATCAGCTCTTTTATACTCGTTGAGTAAAACCATCGACTTTCTTGTAATTAAAATGTCACATGTTCAATTTCCTGAGCATAAGTGAAGGCATGTCTGTATAAACCCTAGGCAAAATCCAAATATTTAATATGGGAGAGTGACACATCTCATCAGCTATCACGTTCATATAAAAAAAAATTACAGAGACTTGTAATGAATTCAATTATTTGGATGATTGATGTGCCATTATAATCTTAACTGAATTCTGCTTTTTTAGTTGTAGTGAGGATATCATTCTTGGCATAATGTGACATGACAGCAAATTAGACAAGGGAGAAAGAAAATCAATCTCTGGTAGCCCATGCTACCAAAACAAAGCCGGGTCATTATGGAATAATAAGTAATGAAATACAGTGCAGGTCATTTTGCTTTTAAAGTGTGCCTGTTAACCCAACATACTAATGTCACCATCACTACTGTCACCTACAACATCATTAAACACGGTTCAGTAAAAGAATAAAACACTTAATTTGCAAAGAGATACTGAAGTCAAACTAGGCTATTTTGCTATCTGAGGCAAATTTTATAATTAGATTTCAATTAAATGTGCACCCTAAAGCTGTTCGCAGGTAACTGTGGTTCCCAATTATAGAGTAAAGTTGTACTAAGCTGTGAGACGAGAGAGACCATGCACAGCATTACACACACATTCAAGAACATATGTGGCAAACATACTTGTGTTTTACCTCATGATGTACTGCACGACTGTGTGTAATCATAATTATGGGCTGTTTCCATATTCTGAAAGCTTAATTAAAAGCAACCCAACTCAATATAGCAATCACAGAAAGGTTTCCACAAAATGTTCTTGCCAATTGCTATCATACGTACTCGTAGAATGTCGTCCAGCCAATCTCTGATGTCTTTGTAGCCAGCAGCCCATTGTTGCCATGGTACGTAAGAAGTACCAGCTCCTGACCCTGTGCTGTGAGTGTCTTCAATCCACCGTTGGTGCTCATGGTCATCCAGATCACCTGGTTATCAGGTGCGACGATACGCACCGGCATGCGATTGGGATCCCTACGGATTCTCAGAGTGTTGCCACTGCTGTCAGTAACAGCTGTGATGTCATTCTCTGTGCTGTAGCTGAAAGTATATTTCAAGTCACCAGTCAGCAAACTTGCAGTGTGTTGGTGGGTACCATTGCTGTCAAACACATACAGCTCCTGGGCATCAGGGGAAGCCACTTCGTATGTATTGGCACTGGAAGTTGGCCCGTTTCTAGAAATGGCCCGGATGCGGATGTTGCCCAGGTCTGCCACGTAGAGTGTTCCATCTGGAGCTGCCACTAAAGAAGATGGAGCATTGAGCCTTGCATCTTTGGCATAACCATCCCCTGTCTGGTAACAGTCGCAGTTGGCATCATTTTTGCAATCGCAGTCGGAGGGAGCCCCGGCCAAATGCGTTATCTCACCATCCACAGAAACCTTCCGGATCCTGCTCATCTTTCGCTCATCTGTCTCTGCTACGTAGATGGTACCATGGTAAGATATGGCAATGGAAACAGCGGATTCTAGAGGGGTCAATTGTGCCCTCTGACCACCAGCCACTCCCCGCTCCAGTCCAGCCAATGGGCAGTGGTTAGGTCGGCCAGCTGCAATGCTGACTTGACCATTTTCTGAAATGCGCAGCACTATATTGTTGTCCAGAACATACAGCGAGTTGTCCATTGGGCTAACTGCTAGGTCTGTGGGCCACTCCAAAATCACCTGAAATACAGGTATCAGTAGATTAGCCCATCTAATGACAATGTTGCCCATCAGTACATCAGTATACATTTTCAGACAATTTCTCTCCATTGACATTTATAGTGTTGCTTCCTTACCATAGTAATTATATTTCTTTTGTATATAAGAATGCACTTTATGATGTGTGTTTTTGACAGTATGTGTCAGGAGCAGATTGAAGCCACAAAGGATTCTTGGTATGCCAACACACACACACTAAATAAAAAAGTTCTCGAGTCTGTTCTAATTAGAAGCAGAAGTTGTACCAAGAATGAAGACTTAGATAAAAAGAAGTTGAAGGCCCGACCTCTTTCTGACCTTCAAACAGTTAGCTTTGAACAGCGGATTGTGAGTTTCAGAAAGTTGCACAGCCACAGCAGTGCATAAATCGATGGTGAAAAGATGTAAGGGGAAGGGCATTTCTGAAAATATTTGACCATCTATCAAGCAAATCTGATGAGCCTCTTAAACTGAGTTACATGTGGACATTAAGTACTGTTCTGTAAAACGAATTTTAAGTTTACATGGTTGGTATTGTCCAAAAAGAATGATGTCCTAGCAGAAAATACATTTGCGCAATTCTGTAGTTATGTGCCACCCCTTTGCATTCAGCACACAGTGACATTACCTCGTTTTCCCATAAAGGCTTTTAGATCTACACAGCTGAAATATACTTTTTTAATCAGCTTTTTGGTGATGATTTTAAGATATATCGCTGATGCAGGAAGGATTAGCTCTCATTCTATTATTTTTTTCCCCCCCAAACTTGGAACAAACCATATGATATTAATGGGCCAGGAGAATGAATACCTAAGGGATATAACATTAGCTCTGAGCTCTTCAACCTGGGACTGGGTAATGAATTTAACATAGCAGATTAAATATAAATAAAATTAAAAAATAACTCATACATTTAAAGTGACATCATTATTAACCATGTCTTGCAATAATAATAGGTATATATAATGATCCAAAAACGACTATAAAACCACAGCCAGCCATTACAGTCTCCTTGTCAGAAATGTGTCGTTGAATAAAAAGCTTATTTATAACAGCACAAATGACTGGTCTGGCCTTCAAATACATAACTGTGTCATTAAAACTGTCAAAACACTCCTGAATCGTGCTTTTCCACAGGGCGATTAATAATAAAACATGATGCCTTTGAGGCTGCCTGAAGTAAAACTGCACTGAGCCACTTCTCTAGCTTGGATGCCTGAAGATCACACAGTCTCGCCAAAACCATGTTTTTACTGGCTTACACCAAATGACTTGGTTAATTAGCAAAAAGTGACAAGCTTAATCCTTTGTCCTCATGTTCTCTTATGTTCACCCGCTTCATGTTCACCACCCACGCATGTACACAAACACTGATTGCTTTCTCTTCTGTTTATGTTAAAAATGTTCTTAAGTTGCCTTAAACGCCATTTTATTTTCTCCCAAACGCAAATGTGTTTCTCTTATTATCTAACCTCTTAATAGGACACCACTTGCGATATCTGTTCTTAGAGTTATTTTGGTTGTGAATGTAGATAATTTCCATTGCCATGTTTGGTTTGTAGCCTTGTACTCTGCCTTTTTGTAAGCCGGTCTAGATTAAAACATTAGGAATCTAATCAAAATGTAAATCTGGTTAGTTAAAAGGAACAAGAAGAAAACACTTTGGGCTGGTTTGCAAGAAACACTAACAGTAGACAGGTCAAATTCAAAGGACTCAATTATGGACAATCTCATGGACCCACAAAGTTGTTTCCTGAACCATTAGCTTTGCCAATCTGCTGCTTACTGGTTCTCTAAAAACTCTTCTATTCACATCTCGTGCTGCTTATGCACGCTCCTCTTGTTTTGCAGCCGTACTGACTGATGTTTTTTGTCTGCTAGCTATCTGGTGGATGTTTAAGTTAGACAGCAGCCATTCATGGCTTGTTTGTTGCCACACAGGTTTCTACTTGGATGATTAAATAAAGGTTAAAAAATACAAAGAAATAGAAGGTTCACACAAAAAAGGTTTTAGTGTCTGATGTTGCTCTTATTTGATTCTAAACAGCTAGTTCGCTGCAGAATTCACTTTCTGCAGAAGCAGGGTATAGAAGAGGATGTGAATGCCTGTATTTTCATAGGATAAAAGGCTTTTTTTTGGTTTTTATTTTTCTTCATTATTTATTTTAAGTCTGGTATGAAAAACTAAAGGAGCCAGATGAGAAAAGATATTAATGTTTAAGCAAGGGAATCTGCACAAGAGGTGTCATGGTATTGTAATTCTTTAACCTATTGCGTAGGGACAGGGTGCTGGTTTTATGTCACCCCAGGTAGGCAGTAAATTTTGTCGGACAAAGCCGGCCATCCTCAGGTACCGCCGAAGAAAAGGTTTTATGTGCAGCAAGCCTGCTACCGAGTGCTGCTTCATTATCATGTGCGGTGTAAGTGTCCTCAATGCTGAGAATTTCCAGTGGAACACTAAACACTAATTCAGCTCCAGCCACATCAAAACAAGCCCCCCAAACTGAGTAATTATTCTTCCCTCCATATCTTCTGCCGTGACCTGAAAACTCATCTCTTCAATAAACACTTCATGTTTCCACTTCCTGCAAAATCCCATCCTCCTCCTAGCACACATTTTCCTCCTGTACTTTCAGAGAAAATGCTCTGCTCGTGATGGATTGAGTGCAAAGAGAGCGAGAGAGAGCCAGAAAACAGGAGCATTTTCTTCTTCTCTTTGTTTCTTCAGCAAGCACCTCATAATGTTGGTGTTCTAGGAATGTAAATTTATTCCACTGATCTCACTGTTTTGATTTGACTGCTTATTTATTTATTTTTTACAGCTGTATAAACGGGAACTCTGTACATATATTTAAAGCCTCCTCTTTATCCAAGTCTCCTGACTAAGATGCTGTAATTAAAATGTTACAGAACCACATCACAGAGCAGGTGACACAAAATAACTCAAAACTGCAGAATAAAACAAAAGCAGAATTATTAAACCATGAACAAAGTTCCCAGTAAGAATAATTTCAAAGATTACATCTGTGAAAAACAGACACAGCCTAAGTGGCAATCTAAAACCACCAGCACAAATAAGACTGATTTAATACCATCAAATAATAAATGAATTATGCTAAAACATCCAGATTCTAATATACTACCAAATATTAGCAGCCAGAAGAGTGCATACACTTTCCACAGCAATGATTTCCATTCCCTGAAAGAGAGCAGTTTTTTGCAATTTCAAATTTAATTGCAAAAGGTTCCAGGAAGAGCGAGCTGCATGTAAAAAAGCTATTTTAGCTAAGAGTTTGGAGGATTCTTGATAATAATATAGATGCTGAGGTTAAAAAAAAAAAGTAAAAAAAAAAGAAGAAGGACACTGCCAAGGCCAATGCCCTGTTTCACATTTTTCTCCACAAAAATTGAATGTGTCCTTTTCTTATTCTCCACCTCTACAACACGTTTTCATGAAATACGGCTTCATCATTTCTGCTTAGTCCTGCTTACTGACACACACAAAGAATTGCCCTTGGCAAAGGAAACATGGCTTTGTACGGAGCGCTCTCTTGAAAACCAGTAGTCATAGTGCACGTACAGTATGCAGTTATACAGCATATCATACAGAGCAGTCATACAACACATGTCAGTAACCGTACTGAAGGGGTACAATGATGGGTGCACCATACTGGTCATACTGAGCACTTCTGTGTTTAAGTCACCTGATTGATGTCCATGCTATTGTCACAGGTCAGAGGGCGAGCCGACGTCAGGTCATTCGAACCGAGGAAAGTGGAGATGATGCCGTTTTGGTCCACTTTTCTGATTGTGGTGCCGTCAACAAAATAAATCAGCCCATTCTTGTCCACTGCAATGCCTGTTGAAAACAGGTGAGAGGGGGAGAACGGAGAAGAGAAGTGCAAAGGAAAAAGCTTGTGATAACAGGGAAGAAAAAAAAACATGGTAGATACGCTGCATCTATGCCTGCATGACTCAGTGGACAGAACACGATGGATACATGTGTCAAGCTTGCCTTCCCATTATTCAGGTCACTGCAAAAAGCAAAGCCATCAATAATTCACAGTCTGCTTTTCTGCTATTAAATAATTTCACAGGCAGAAGTGGGAAAGGCTGTATTCATACGGTATATATGCACTTTGCCTTGTCTCGTAACCCTCCTGTCCAAAAGAGACCTCGGGAGGTAGGCATGTCAATGACTGGTGCTTTGTGGAGATTTTTTTTGACGTCGGCAATCATCAACAATCTGCACACCATTTGAGAAATAAATAAGCAGGGGAATGAAAATGACAGCTTTAGACAGTTTTGGATGAAAGAGGTGAAAGACAGGCAGTTGCCTCGGTGACAACTGTGGACTAAATTGTCTCGGTGATTGAGAGTCAGCTCAGAGTCGTAAGCTGGAGCCAAGCCAGTGTGGAGTTGCAATAACCATTTGTCCCAAACTGGGAAAATACATTAACAGACTATGCGAGCCTCCACATCACTTTCTATGCCACTGTGCTGTTTAATATGACACCTCGGCCTTACCTCACATTCAGAGATTTAAACGTTCCGCGCTTTTCTATTTACAATTTCCATTTAATTTCTGAGATTTCAGGATGTTGTAATTAGCATGATCTATAGTTTTCTGAAGGACTTCTACCGGTCTGAACATAATATAACTTCACTTCTACCTCCAGAGTATTATTTCTCTTTCAATGAAGTCTTTAAAAGCTTCTATGGAAGGTGAGTGATTTGGTTTGACCTGTGGCTAGGCCTGCACGAGATTGCTTTCTGCTAAAACATTGATGAGCCGAGGGAGCCCACGGTGAATCCTTGGGAGCTGGCTATTTGACAGTCTGAGATTCTCAGACAGATGAAAAGTGTCACATTTGAGCAGAGTTCAGCACATGTCTGAGAGGAGAAAAAAAGGAGCCATCTGCTGTTTCTTCTATGGTCCCGGCTTCCACCCACTCCATCATTAGAGTCGCTCCCTCAGATTGCCTCCGCTCAAGCCTTTATCACCCAGCTGAAGCTGAGCTATTGCGGTTGGCATTCAGAGTGGGCAACAACTAGTGCACAACAATTCATCCTTGCCTTTTCTTCCAGAAGAATTTATGGAAAAGTGAGCAATCACGCCACTAATGACCATGTGATATTTGAATGTGGACAACAGGTTGTGTAGAGTGGGTTTCTGACAGCAGGAGCTTTTTGTGGGAGAAAAAAAAAAGCCTCTTTAAGAAACAAAGTAACAATTTCAAGGATTTTAAAAGCAATATACAAATATTCAAAACCAGTTCTGCAACAACTTTTTTGATTGGGAGCAGCAGTGCAGAGCCTTAATTAACAAAGCATCTCTGTTTTTCTTAGTTGTATGGAAGTAATCTGAATTGATAACACATGAATCACAACCAAATTTCATTCATTAAAATCAGTGAGCCGGTTCTTGGCACAGAGCCCGAAGCACAAGTTTAAATCTAGCAGATGCCACTCCTGAATGAGAAACTCATCAATGTGTTCAGCCCCTTCATTTGAATACAGTATCTTCATTAGTTTTAAATTATACCTTTGGGTCCAATGAGAGAGGCCTCTGGAGCTTTGCCGCCATCGCCACAGTGGTCCTCATCGAATGCCAGACAGTGTTCGCCGGTTCCCGCTACCACCTCCGCGTTTGACGGCAGATCCTTGCTTCCAGCCAAAGTTCTCGGTCGGTAGATCCTCCGGGAGTTTGTGTCCGACACATACAGCTGGCCGCTCACTGGATCAGTCACCAGGTAGTACCGGTGTGCTGGGTTGTTACTGCATTTCAAGATGATAACTCAGTTATATACTGTACTTGGAGAAAGGTTTTTTCTTTAAAAGCCTTTTTCTAACAGTTCAGATTGTACTTTAATGGCAACAATTTGCTCCTAAAATGTGATCGATGCCTTAATATCTGAAATACCTCAATCTTCCTCTAAACTTCAGCTAAACTTGATGAAATTTAGCCTGATTTTTCTCTCTGAAAATCCCCCCATTAAGAGTTAAGAATAATATGAAAAGCACAGTGAATTTCTCAAGTGGTTTCATCTGTATGCATAGGGGTATATGCAGTATAGGTAGAAAGTACTTTCAGAACACCCAAGAGGCAGTACATTAAAGTATATATTTTAAGTGCAGTGGCATTAATTAGTACCAGTGATACAGAGTCTTCATTTCCTAATTAAGTGTAACTTTGTTCGGTCCAGTTGTTGCATAAATTGCAAACCTTAAGATCCAGATAGCAAAAATTGTCATGTGCATGTAAAGTAAAAAGTAGCAAGAAACAATGTTTATTCTGAATTTTGCAAGAAACTGTGAGAAATTTCCATAACGGTGTAAGAAGAGCAGAGCCTTTGAGGATGAAAGAGTGGAAACAGAGAGAAGGTTGAATAGATGGGAGTCAAACAAAATTCAACAGGATACCACTGCGGTGGGGTTTCGGTGTACAAAGCACAAATTGACAACTTGTGCAGCAGATCATTTCATTTCCTATCACTCCCCTGTGGGAAGACGCCTTTGGAAATACAGAAATGATAACAACATGCAACTACTAATGAATTCTTGTTTCTATTTGCATTCAATTGTCACATAATGGGACAAAGAATCAAACGAATTTACAACACGCTATCGACTAGTATTTATACTTTAAAAAAGAAGCTATCAAAACTGTGATTTACTGTCAAATATTTAAAAAAACTCGACATGCTTAAGAACTACAGTTAAGGCAGGATGGATACATACAACAGAGGCAGTTAACATGAAAAAGCGAGTGCTTTACAGCGCAGTCGTAAACATGGCTTCTCCGCTTGTACTCCAGCTTAATGGTACCTTTCTCAATGCTGGCCGCCAATGGAAGTGGATAATGTGACGGCAAAATAAATGTGGCAATGAAACATCTTTGTAAAATGATGAAGATGGAGTCGTAAAATTTGACAGCTATTATGAGTCAAAGTAAATGCCCTAAATAGGTGGCTGCTATCAAGGTTCCATAAAGAATTCAACAAGTTAAACATTAGTAACTCTTTCTTTTACAGTCAATCTTCAGGGGGTGGGCATAATAACGGAGACACCAGTATGGTGCTATACAGTCCAATCAAACGGTCATATAATAAATATTACCTGTGTGAAGCTTATTTGGTCATTTCCTTTAAAAATGTAAGTTGTGAAGGATTCGCCATGTGTTTGTGATAAAATTGTATCATTTGTGCCGAGGCCATCAAGAATAAAAAAGCTGCTGCTTGACTATAGGATTAACCAGTGACTGTGTCTGTTCTCAAATTATTCATCTTCCCCTGTAGCTCAAAGGTTTTACCGTACCTGTCCCAAGTGCAAGCGCAGGTGGTAGTCATCCTCTGATGAAACTATCATAAACTCTTGGTAGCTGGCATTGTTCTGCAGGCAATCTGATTTGTCTGACTGATCCAGTATTCAGCAGCTCTTGCGGTGTCAAGACTTTCACGTCACTCTGCCTCTATGCTCCCTTCACTGCCTTTTTGTTTTACCTTATTTATAACCAACTCTTGTCTCTCTTTTCTTCTTTTTTTAGGTTTTATCTGTAAATGCCATTCCACATATCCCTCCTTCTCCCTGCCAAGCGTTTGAAATGAGAAATACAGCGAATCTGAATTCAAGAAGTAAAGCAGAATTAAAGCCCACCAGGTGAGTTAAGCAAATTAATCTTATATTTATATAAAAAGTCACACACGCATTTTCCATAATCCTGCTCTTACACCAGTGGAATGTATGAAACGTGCTCCGTAGCTTCGCTTGATAGAGTGCTGTTGTCTTAATCAGGAATACAAAGCAGTTGTGTAAGTCCCTCAACAAGAGAACATCTGTCAGATGGAAATGTAATCATAAGCTTCGCAATGATACTGTTTATTGCAGCGCTC